TCCCTCACAAATGAAACGGAGAAGAAAAAAAAGACACACCATACAAAACAACTCGTCGCTATACTCCAACGGCGCGGTCTGCGTCGTGCCTGTGAGGCCGGTGAAGTTCTTTTGGAGGATCTTGCCGTCGGGGATGGAGGAGGCGGGGATGAGGGTGGCTGATTCCTGGGTGCGAGCGTTAGCGAGCGTCAGTTTAGCGAGCGAGGATGGGAGAAGGATAAGACAACGCACCTGCGAGTTCCCACCAACACGCGCACCGACCCCGCGCGCTGCTGGATATTCGCCATAAGGTTGAGGAACGGCACCTGGATGTGCGTTGCGTTTTTTGCCCACTACCCCACAAAATCAATCATAAACCATTCCTCCCTTTTCATACAGCACACGACTCACAAACTTGGTTACTAACACTCATCTCAATACTAAACCCCACGAAATCCCCCCCCTGCACGATACTCACCCCCGGCGTGCCCCCGTTATTCAGCTGTATCTGAAAGCTGCTGGGGACAGCGGGAGTGGGGACGGGCGGCGCGACGAGCGTGGTGGGGTTGTACGCCGCCGCGCCTGTGTACGCCGATGCGGCGGCTGCGGCGGAGCCGGTGGCGAAGGCAGCTTGGCCGGGGGCTTGGTAGACTGTTATAGCGGCCCGGGCGAGAGGGAGGGCGAGGAGGGCGAGGAATGGGCAGAGGCGGGCCATGGAGGGCGTTGAAGGTGTGTAGAAGAGAAAGGTGGAGTACAGATGAGATGAGAAAAGGAATTAGAGGCGTAGTCTGCGATGCTGCCGAATTGGTGCCGACAACCTATAAATAACTCGACAGCGTGCGGGCTTGGCGGGTCAATGTAACGTGCAATTAAACATCTCTTTATTTAGACTTATGCGGGATGTCGGTATGATGTCATGACAGCGCCGAGTGCGATCGGGTCTCGTTCATTGTCAGTTCAACGTTCAACGTTCAACTTGGAACGACTCGACGAGCGCTCCGAGCCTTACTAAGCAGTTGTTGGGAATAAAATTGAGTTGGTCGGTGAATCCCGCTGGAAAGCATCCCTGCAGTACTCAACCAAGAGTCGAAATCACCCAACGAGTCATACCACCCTCGGATCCCCGAAAAACATAACCCGTTGTCGGCCGCTCACTGCCAGCGCAGATTTCCTGGTCCCGGTAAGCACAAATTTTATCACACTTACAAGAAGAAATAAATGAGTAAAGGAAGCGGACGTGGTGCGCGGCGCACCGCTGCATTTGATTTCGATTTGGAGAGAAACTTGAAGCTGTTGAAGGGGTTCGACTCCGCGCGTCCGCATATGTTGATGCATTTGATCAGTTTTTTTTTCTTTCTTGCGCGAGTCAGCTGTACAACCATTTTCAAAACCGCGACTCAATTATGCATGTAAGCCAAAAGAATTTGATATCAACGGTCCTAGCTAGCTTTTCCACGTCACGACCCCAATAAAATTATAAAATCCTCCTGCTTGGGGCTCAAGTAAACATGGGTAGCAAGCGGACGTGGTGCACGGTGCACCGCTGCACTCTATTCGGGCCTTGAAAAACCCTTCAAGCAGCTGCTGGTGTTCGACTCCCCGCTTCCGCATTGGGCCTCGAGATTTTTTCGCCATTCAAATACCTCATTTTTGCTGGCCTACAAGAAGGACAAAATGAGGGCAGGAAGTGGACGTGGTGTTGGGCGGATCCAGAATTAGATTTGAAGCAGCAACCGGGGTTCAACTCCCCGCGTCTGCATATGTTGATGCATTTGATCAATTTTTTTTTTCTTTTTTTCTTTTTTTCTTTCAACTCTGCAAGCTTTCGAACCATGACTCTATCCTCAGTTCCATCTCATTCCTTGTTTAAATGTAAAACAAAGGAATTTTGGCTTGGCCACCTGTCTGTCTATGATAGCTTTGCATGTCACAGCACCAATAAAACTCTCCTAGCTAGCCTGAGGAAATGAGGGTGGAAGCGGCCGTGGTGCACGGTGCACTGCTGCATTTAATCATAGGGGACAGAAATAAAATTGAAGCAGCTGACGGGGTTCGACACCCCGCGTCCCTATACTGGGTTATCGAACACTTTTTCTCTCTCTTTTACGGTTCGAATACCTTATTTTATTCTCGGCTATGAGGAGAAATAAAGGAGTAAAGGGAGCGGACGTGGTGCACGGTGCACCGTTGCATTTCATATTATTATGTGGAATAATGAAAGAAAGTTGAACAGTTGCTGGGGTTCGACTCCCCGCATCCGCATTCGGTGTTTCATACATCCCTTTTTACTCTCTCTTGCAGTGAGTAAATTTCATCTTGCCTACGAAAGAATCAAGTACAGGAAGCGGACGTGGCGCACGTTGCGCCGCTACACTCCATGTGTTGTCGGTATGGGAATGAAGCAGATGCTGGGGTTCGACTCCCCGTGGCCGCATGCAACTTCCACAGTTGGTTTTTTGTTTGGTCTTGCAATTCAACAATTCAACCCATTTTACATAAATCATGAGTTGAAGACGTGCTACATGACAGACGCTGCCCTCAATTATCCCGACAATTCTGGACAATTCCATTCCGTGAAACACAGGTGGCCATTGGGCGGTGGCTCGCAGCCCCAATACTTGGAGGTCCAAGTAAACCAGAGTAGCAAGCGGACGTGGTGCACGGCGCACCGCTGCACTCTATTTGCGACTTGTTTGACAAACTGTCGAAGCAGCTGCTGGGGTTCGGCTCCCCGCGTCCGCATTTGCTCTCCAGAATTCTTTTTGCTGTCTGGCCGGTCAAATATGTTATTTTTGCTCGTTTGTGAGAGGGAATAAATGAGTAAAGGAAGCAGATTAGTGCATGGTGCACCGCTGCATCTGAAATGTCGAGTGAAGCAGCTGCCAGGGTTCGACTCCCTGCGTCCGCATATCTCCAGTTTGAAGTGTATTTTTTTGTTCTATGTTTTTGCTCTGGTCCACAGTAGTAGCTGTTTTCAAAGGACGACTCAATTACTTACCCTTCTAGTTCCATCCCGTAAAAATTGGCTCTGATCCATCCATTCATAGCTTTTTCTTCTCAAGTTCTCATGGCCCCAATAAAATTATAAAGCCATCCTAGTTAGCGGCTTGAGTAAATAAGAGTAGAAAGCAGATGTGGTGCACGGCGCACCGCTGCATTTCATGTGGTTCTCAGTGCGAAAATTCGAGGCAGTTGCTGGGGTTCGACTCCCCACGTCCACATTTATCTGGTTCCACTGCCTTTTTTCTTCTTTTCTTTTCGTTAAATTTTCCCCGATCCACTGGCACGAAACGTTATGCAGAGGCCGTACATACCAGATCGCCGTAACCAATTATCCGGGATCCCGACAATTCCGGGATGAAAACGCAACTAGTGCGGGATGGCTCACAGCACCAATAGAATTACTGTATCCCAGATAGCAGCTTAAGGAAATGAGGACAGGAAGCAGACGTGGTGCGCGGTGCAGCGCTGCATTTCATTGGGAAAATCAGGAAAATAAAATTGAAGCAGTTGCTGGGGTTTGACTCCCCGCGTCCGCATTGGCAGTCAGTGCACGTTTTTTTTTTTGGTTTGCTCACAGTTAGAACCGCTTTCAAAGCAAGACTCGACTATCCCCACAATTTCATCGAGCAAGAACTAAGGTTTGGCTCCGATCCATCTTATGCTTCTTTTTAGGCTCGAAACCAGCCTGTAGATGAGAGACGAGTCTCGATCTACAGGCTGGTCGATCGGAGTTTAAATTCGGTTAACGCGCGGCTTTCCAAAAAAGGCTATTAGATAAGCAGGTGCGAATTGGACTATTGAAATACAAATTGCACAAAGATGAGTGCCTATAGCAATAGAGTCCATGTATAAATATGCTGTATCCTTCAACGAACCCTGAATTCAAACAATTCATACTGCTAGAATATTTTTTCAGTTAGGTTGTGTTTGTTTGTCAATGCCGTGGCTCCGCCAAAAGATTGCTTATCTAATAGCCTTTTATGGTAATTCTGCGCGTTAACCGATTTTAAACTCCGATCGACCAGTCTGTCTATTGACAGCTTTGCTTCATAGACAGACCGGCTCCGGTCTAGCTTCTTTTTCACCTAACAACCTAGCACGAGGGAATAAAAATCATCCCAGTTAGCGGCTTGAGAAAACAAGCATAGGAAGCGGACGTGGTGCGTGGTGCACCGCTGCATTTCATATGGTATGAATATCGGCAGTTGAAGCAGCTGACGGGGTTCGACTCCCCGCGTTCGCATGACATCTCGATCCAGATTTCTTTTTTTTGGTTGTGCTTTGTCTCTATCTCGCAATTCAACAGTTCAACCATTTTCAGACGGACTTACAGACGTGCTACATCACAGACACTGTCGCAAAATATCTTGACAATTCCAGGACAGAAAAAAGCAGCCATTCACATCTCATCCCCAATAAAATTATCCCAGTTACAGCTCAAGAAAACTAGGATAGGAAGCGGACGTGGTGCGTGGTGCACTGCACTGAATACATCATTATTTGTCCTAAAGCAGTCGTCGGGGTTCGACTCCCCACGTCCACATTCCCACTAAAATAGTTTTTTTTTTCTTCACACTCTTCAAGCTTTCGAACCACGACTCTATCCTTGCAGTCTCATCCCATTCCTTGTTTAAATGTAAAACAAAGGTATTTTGGCTTGGCCATCTGTCAGTCTATGATAGCTCTTTTTGACACACTGCACCAAATGAAATCCTCCTGCTTAACAGCTTGAAGAAACAAGGGTAGGAAGCGGACGTGGTGCACGGTACAATTTCATGCTCCAGTAAATTTGAGAATTGAAGGAGTTGAAGGGTTCGACTCCCGGCGTCCACATGGCACATGCTCTGTTATACCGTTCTTTTTTTTGTGCATCCCCCAACAGGAAAGCTGCTTTCAAACTGCAACTCAATTATGCATCCAGTAAGCCAAAAAAAAAGTCAACGGTCCTGGGTCTTTTTTTCTCTCCCAGTCTCAATAAAATTCCCCCAGTTAGTAGCTTAAGGAAACAAAGGTAGGAAGCGGATGTAGTGGATGGTACACCGCTGCATTTCATTATATGATGCGAAATAATGAAAGAAAGTTGAAACGGTTGCTGGGGTTCGACTCCCCGCATCCGCATTCGGTGTTTTCATACATCCCTTTTTACTCTCTCTTGCAGTGAGTAAATTTCATCTCACTTACCCAAAGAAAGAAATGAGTACAGCAAGTGGACGTGGTGCACGGTGCACCGCTACATTTCATGCTCCAGCAAGTTTGAAAATTGCAACAGCTGCGGGGGTTCGACTCCCCGCGTCCGCATAAGCACGGCGGCGATCAAAAATATTATCCCGGGAAAACGGCCCTAGAACTATTATGCACGATTTACGGGCCGAATATAACCCCAGATAAGATAGCAGTGATAGCCCGAATTTTATCCGTCAAATTTCCCCAGGTAATAGGCTGGGTTTTACCACGAGATAAAGACGGGTCACAGCCAAGCTTTTTCCGTGAGAATGTCCGGCGGAAATAGCCAGGTTTTTCCTCAGGTAAAAGTCTGGCTGTTACCTTTTCTTTGTTCTTCCTTTGTTCGGTAAAAGCCTGACTTTTGCCGCAGCAAAGAGTCTGGCTGTTTCTGCCGGACATTCTCACGGAAAAAGCTTGGCTGTTACCTGTCTTTATCCCATGGTAAAACCCAGTCTTTTACTCAGGGAACTTTGACAGATAAAATTCGTGCTAGCACTGTTATCTTATCTAAGGTTATATTCGGCCCGTAAATCATACATAATAGTTCTAGGGCCGTTTTCCCGGGATAATATTTTTTGATCACCGCAGTGAAGGTGATGTGTTCGATCATTTTTTTTCTTTTCTCTTTCAACTCTTCAAGCTTTCCAACCATGACTCTATCCTTGCAGTTCCATCTCATTCCTTGTTTAAATGTAAAACAAAGAAATTTTGGCTCGGTCACCTGTCTGTTTATCATAGCTTTGCAGTGTGCACATCACAGCACCAATAAAACTCATCTAGCTAGCAGTTTGAGTAAATGAGGGTAGGAAGTGGACGTGGTGCACGGTGCATCACTGGATTTCATGTGATGTGTGGAAAATTGGAGCAGTTGCTGGGGTTCGAGTCGGAGTGACCGTTCGACTCCCCGTGTCCGCATACGGTTGCCAGAGCTGTTTTTTGTTTTGTTGCCACGGTCAACAGTACAGCTGTTTTCAAGCGGCGTCTCCGTATCCAGACAATTAAGCTACGTCCAGGAAATCAAGATTCATCTCCGAGACATCTGAGCACCTTTTTGAACTAATCATACCAATAAAATCCTCCTGTTAGCAGGTTGAGTAATTAAGAGAGGAAAGCGGACGTAGTCCACGGCGCACCGCTGCAATTCATCCGATGGAACTGAACCTGAAAATTGAAGGAGCTGTCGGGGTTCGACTCCCCGCGTCCGCATTGATCTGGTTCCATTGACTTTTTTTTTTTTTTTTTTTTTGGGTTAAAATTTCCCCGCAATTCAACGGTCGGTCCACTGGCACGAAACGTTATGCAGAGGCCGTACCAGATCGCTGTAACCAATTATCTGGGATCCCGACAATTCCAGGATGAAAAAGCAACTAGTGCGGGATGGCTCACAGCACCAATAAAATTATCCCAGATAGCAGCTTAAGGAAATGAGGGTGGAAGCAGACGTGGTGCGTGGCGCACCACTCACCACTGCATGGAATGTGTATGGAAACCCAAAAATTGGAGCAGCTGTTGGGTTCGACTCCCCGCGTCCGTATTCTGCTGGTCCGACAAAATTTTTATTGTTGTTTTTCTTTCTTTCTTTCTGTCTAGATCTGGCAACTCAACGGTCCGCTACTGTCAAACAGGACTCGCGCTTACAGACCCCTGACAGACCGCTGTCGCCAATCGTCCCAACAGTTCCATCCAGTAAATAAATAAAAAAAGATTTGACTCTGAGACATCTGACACCTGACCACCTTTTCAACTAATCGTGCCAATAAAATGATCCTAGCTAGCAGCTTGAGTAAATGAGGGTAGCAAGCAGTCATGGTGCACGGTGCACCGCTGCATTGTGGCAGTATATTATCTCAGCCTTGAAACAGCTACCGGGGTTCGACTCCCCGCGTCCGCATTCGACCTCCGCCTGTTTTTTTCTCTTGAGTAATTTGAATTTTATCTCACTTCGAAGAAGGAAGAAACGAGGGTAGGAAGCGGACGTGGTGCATGGTGCACTACTGCATTTCATGAAGTGTTATCTTATCAAACGTGAAAATTGAAGCAATGACCAGGGTTCGATTCCCCACGTCCGCATGCACATTTGAGCTTTTGATTTCTTTTTGTTTCTTTGTTGCACAGGCCAGCTGTATAGCCAGTTTCATAGCACGATTCTATTATCCCCACAATTTCATCGAGCAATAATTCAAGGTTTGACTCTGATGTACCTGACCACCTTTTTCACCTCACAAAACGAAGGAATCCCAGTCACAGCTTGAGTAAACCGGAGTATAAAACGGACGTGCACAGGGCGCCATAGCTACGGTAATGGAATTGAAGCAGCTACCGGAATTCGACTCCCCACATTTGCATTCGGTAATTTGGTCCCTTTTCTTCTTCTTCTTCGTGGTTCAACTCAACTCGGTGACTAATCTGAGCTGCACAAAGGAATGGGAAGCAGATGTAGTGCACGGTGCAGTGGCAATGCCACGGCAGGAGATGTGGATCTGTTTTACTTGTTGCTTGTTCCTTGCAGTTCAAGTGACTTGATTACTATCTCTGTACAAGCAGGACAAAATGGAATAGCAAGCGGATGTGGTGCATGGTGCACCACTGCATCTCATGTGGGTGTTATCAATATGAAAATTGAAGCAGATGAAGGGGTTCGACTCCCTGTGTCCGCATACGTCGCACATGGCACAGTTTTTGATTCTTTCTTTTTGTACGGCCCAGCTGTACAGCTACTTTCATAGCACGATTCCATTATCTCTCAATTCCATCCAGTTGAATTTAAGCTTTGACTCTGATGCATCTGACCACCTTTTTTCTCTCGTGGCACCAATAAAATAATCCTAGCTAGAGTCTAAACAAGGATAGCAAGCGGACGTGGTGCGTGGTGCACCACTGCATGGAATAAGTTCTGAGCACGTAAACTTGAAGCAGTTGAAGGGTTCGACTCCCTACGTCCGCATGCATCATTTCCAAACCCAATTTTCTGTTCTTTCTGTTTGCACGGGTCCACCGTTCAACAGTACAACCACTTTCAAAGCAAGACTCCATTGTCACGGTCCGTGTTTATGAATAGTTCTAATCCTGGTCCTTTTTTTGTGTGGTTTGTTGCAGGTCAAATACCTTATATTTCTAACTCATAGGAATAAATAAACGACAGTAGGAAGCAGACGTGCACCGCTGCATTCCATGTGTAAGGGAACCCAAAAATTGGAGCAGCTGTCGGGGTTCGACTCCCCGCGTCCGCATTGGGCCTCCAGATTTTTTTTGGCCATTCAAATACCTTATTTTTGCTCACCTACAAGAAGGACGAAATGAGGGTAGGAAGCGGACGTAGTGCGCGGTGCACCGCTGCATTTCATTCGTAACCTCGCTTAGGGTTGAGCAGTTGCTGGGGTTCGATTCCCCGCGTCCGCATTGGCAGTCAGTGCACTTTTTTTTTCTGGTTTGCTGACAGTTAGAATCGCTTTCAAAGCAAGACTCAACTATCCCCACAATTTCATCGAGCAACAACTAAGGTTTGACTCTGATCCACCTACGCATCTGCCATCTTTTTCACCTAACTACCTAACAACACGAGGGAATAAAAATCATCCCAGTTAGCAGCTTGAGAAAACAAGGATAGGAAGCGGACGTGGTGCACGGTGCACCGCTGTACTCCATGTTCTGTAGGTGCTGGAATGAAGCAGCTGCCGGGGTTCGACTCCCCGCGTCCGCATGCATCGTTCAAGGCCTCTTTTTTCCTTTTCCATCTTGTCTCGCAATCCAACAATTCAACCCATTTTTACATAAATCATGAGTTGAAGACGTGCTACATGACAGTCAATTATCCCACAATCAGTTCTGGATGGACAGAGATAAACTTGAAGCAGTCGCTGGGGTTGGACTCACCGCGTCCGCATGCATCATTTCCAAACCCAATTTTTAGTTCTTTCCGTCTCTCACAATTCAACAGTTCAACAAAATCAACTGCTTTCAAAGCAGGACTCTATTATTCGTGCATTTCCGTTGACACCAATCCATTTCACCTCATAGAGCAATATAATTCTCCCAGATAGCAGTTTGAGTAACTGAGAGTAGGAAGCAGACGTGGTGCACGGTGCGTCACTGCACTCCATGGTCTTTTGGCATGGAATTGAAGCAGCTGTTGGGGTTTGACTCCCCGCGTCTGCATTCAGCAAAGTGGCCCATTACCTTGTCTTTTTCAGTGTCTCACATGTACAATTCAACAGTTCACCCCCTTCCAAACCGCGCGATATGACAGACCGCTGTAGCCAATTATCTTGAAAATTCCAGGATGAATAAAGCAGCCATTCACCTCACAGCCCCAATAAACTCCTTTTTCGTGACTAACTTGCTCATCATGCAATCGAAGTGATCTTAGCTCCTCGCGCGTGGCCTTCGCAACAGCATGAACGGACAAGAACCCCTTATGTAGGTTCGGAGCAAGCCTGTCTCCGCACCGGTGAGTCGGTAAATCTCGAGCCAGGTTAGTCTCTCCTAGACAGACGCTTCGACAATTCTTGACGTCGTACCTCCGTTTGTTGAAGGTTGAGCTCGACCGTAGTCGAGGCCGTTTTCGGAACCGCCGTACGGACCAATTATAAATCTATATTACGAAAATGCTATGATCTGCGGGACGCATCTTGGTTCTTCGGCTGACCCTCCCGCTTCTATTTTGACTATGACAGCTCTAATGTTGCTGGCCAGCGCTAGCCAAATTCCTCCGACTCCCATCACGTTTCGCGTCGGGCATCTTTTAAGCCCGCTGATGTGCTCGACAGGTACTGGGAGATCATTCGTGGGCCGTTGTCGCAGTGCAGGACAGCACCAGCAAAACATGTTGCGTCCGGAGCCGTATCCGGTCGATGTGGATGTCGTTCCACTTTGAAAATAGGGAGTAGCACAGATCATAAAAATTGGCGCTAGGGTCCACAAAGCAGTGGTGTCAATGCGCTTGAGTCCGGACTTTCAAAGCGCCGAATAGAAGACACAAGGAATGGTAGGGGCATTCAATCCTTGCTATGCCAGCTCTATATCATGCGTGCTCATCAACATTCTACAAATCATTACGACAGCGCTCCACCCCTTGGCACCGCATCAAAACATCGCAGTCAAATAAATATCTCTCGAGTGGGGTGCATGTCGAATATACTTTCCCATCCTCCATGACGCCTCACGCACTTCCGTACGGACTTGAGAAGATTTTTCAGTACACTTCCGTGGCCGCAAATGCCCTGCAGGATGTGTCGGCCACAACCCAGATACCCTTCCTCGACATTGTCTGCACCGCTGTGCTGAGGATCACCCCTCTCGTGGAGGTGTGTTCGTGTGATGCAAATTCCCTGTCTTGTCTCAATTCGACTGCAGAATATCAAGCTTCAAAAAGGCCGATGCCTTCGCATGATGGAGGAGATTCACCACTTGCTCTGTGTACTCATGGGCTTGTGCATCCATCCCCAGGACGTTCGATCTCCCGAGATGCTCCACAAAATCGCCCAGTGTGCCGCGTACGTTCGACGTTCGTCCTTGATTGGACTGGGTTCATTTACCCAATTTATTTTTATTTTTATTGCAGCACGCTTCACAAATTTCATTCCTGTCTCAGGGAACTGGGGGGGCTAGGGAGAATCAAACGCCTGTTCAAGCAAAGCGAAATTACAGCACAATTGGATAGTTGTGAGAAGGAGCTACGAACAGCGTCGGAGATTTTTACGGTAAGGACCAATAGGCGGCGAAACCAAGGCTGATGAATGGGTTGATACTATAGACTCAATATAGAGTTGGCATCGCAAGCACTCTTGCCGAGTTCAATCTTGACACCGAGAGACGGCATCAAGAGCTCCTTGAACTAATCTCATCCCGGAGTGAATCATTTGATAATCTTTCTTCGGTGGGCATTAGTAATTACTCGCGATGTGCACTCAAATTGGCTCATACGACTTCTCAGATGGCAGGAGTTCTTTGAATACCAGGTAAAGAAAATTTGGCCATTATCTTAGGATCAGCGCTGACCACCGGCGAAAACAGTTCTGATTGTTTATCTCTTCTCCCGGCTTCCCCAAAATTATTCCACGGGCGGGATTCCGAGCTCAGGGATCTCATCGATACCGTCCTTGTGGATCCTGCACGGGTGGTAATACTGGGCCCAGGTGGCATTGGAAAGACAACTTTAGCCATGGCAGCACTGCACAATCCAGCTATTATGGAGAAATACGCCCTCAGGCTTTTTATCTCGTGCGAGTCCGCCAGCACCTGCAGTGACTTGGTGATCAATATTGGTTCGCATTTGGGGCTGGAGCCGTCGAGTCACCTTTCAAAGGCAATAGTCTGGCACTTTGGACAGTGTGGACCATGCCTTGTTGTGCTTGACAATTTCGAAACACCCTGGGAACATTTGGAGTCTCGTGGACAGGTTGAAGAATTTATATCCCTATTGGCTGATATTCCGACTCTCGCCTTGCTGGTGCGTCTAATTCCTATATCTCTTGGCAGTGGTGGTACTCACTGATACTGCTTTTAGATTACGATGCGGGGCGCCGAAAGGCCCGGAAAAGTGAAATGGAACAGACCATTCCTTCCTCCTCTCGAACCTCTCTCTCCTTCCGCGTCCCGGAAAATATTCATCGATGTCGCCGATGAGCCTGGGACCGGAACCGCGGACGAGTCAGCTCTTAATGACCTGCTGGATCTGTCGGATCACCTTCCCCTGGCTGTCAGTCTGATGGCTAATATCGCCTCATTCGAAGGATATGCGGGCACTTTAGCTCGCTGGCATATTGAAAATATCTCTCTCCTCTCAGATGGACACGAAAAAGAGTCTAATCTTGAGAAATCCATCACCTTTTCGCTCGGGAGTCAACGAATCTCATCGTCTCCGCATACAAAAAATCTCCTTGCCCTGCTTTCGTTACTGCCAGACGGAATTATGGCACAGGATATCATCGCAGGCAAGGTTCCTATTCCTGATATTCACCGGTGCCAGTCGTTGTTGGTCCGCACGTCACTGGCATACATCGATGTCAAGGGTCGCCTCAAAACACTGAACCCCATTCGTGAATACATCCGACGTGTCCATCCTCCCTCGCCCTCCCTCTCCAAGCCCCTTCGTAAATATTTCCAAGACCTGCTGGAGCTTTGGAGGTCGAACCACCAAAGTCCTTCTGGCAATCTTATTCCAGAACTTGTTTCATATCTTGGAAACATCAATGGACTCATGCTCGAAGGGCTATTAACTGAAGAAAAATCTCCGTTGGTGGAGCTCGGTCTCGGAATCATCACCCTTGACGACTTCTCAGTGGTCATGCTGAAGGGCAACAGTTCCCTCATCCAAAGGGTTCCTCATTTAATCCAAGTGACAGGCAATGCAGAATTGCGATGGAGATATGCAGCTAGATGTCTTGGGAATCGATACTCATTCGATTGGCAAGAGGATCCCGACGTTTTGATTCGGGAAGGCGCTCAGTATTTTGGGGCAGGAAATCACTCCATTCAAGAAGGTAGTTTCCCCTGCCGAAGAATTACAGGCGACTGATTAATAAATACCCAGGTGTCAATTTCTACGATGCCGCGGCACGCCATTATTTGCGCGGAAATCCGAGATTCTTCAACATCCAGAAGGCCACAGAATTCAATAAGCTCGCCTTTTCTCTAGCCCAACGAACGGACGACATTGAGCCTCAGTTATTGTCTCTCAGGACAGAAGCCTCAATTGCACACTTCAGTGGGAATCCATATCTGACATTCAAAGTTGCCTATAAAGCCCGGAGTATTGGAAGGTTCGCCTCGAACTATTGGAAGTTCTGGCAGCTCTACCAGATGGCTGTGGCCAATGCCATGATGGGCAATATATCCGGGGCTATCGACCTCTCCAACGAGATAGAAGAGGTGTTGATATCGAATGGGATGGAGGGCTCGGAAAGTTATCTGGTGCTTCTCGATCTTCGAGCACAAAATCATTTCCGAAAGAGCGAGTATATAGAGGGACGCCAGCTCCATTCACAGATCGTCAACAAGACGTCTCCGGCATGCTGGCCGATCAGTCACGCGAATTCTCTCAGCAGCATCGCTTATCTAGATGTTCTGACCCAGCAGGGAGTTGACCAGATCCTGGCTAATGCGAGTGCTGCCAAAGTCGTGTATGCGACCCATGGCTCCTCGTCAATATTCTGTGCCTATGTGACTGCCGAACTAGCGCTATCTCGTGGCGATACTGAGACCGCCCGTTCTGCACTCGTGGACTGTCTTTGGAAAGGTTGGGGATTCCAAACAGACCTTGCTGGTCTGTGCTTGGCAAGCCTGGCCGACGCAAAAAATGGAATGCACCAGACAGTGGATACCTTGCGCTGGGCAGTGTCTTTCCTTGGGTTCGCACAAAGAATAAAGGATCCATGGAGCACATTACACGCTCTTCGCCG